GAATTTTTCTCGATGCATGAGGGGATGGTTAATTTATATTATGTAGTTATTTTAGTATCACACAAGGTTTCATCGGCATGATGGCCATACTAAGATGATAACTTTGCATATGTACTGATAGCGCATGCGTTTTTTAATGATAAAATTGGTATATTGCTGAAACTAACGCATCATCTGATTATATTAGTTTGAGATAGCTTTTGAAGGAGTTTGTAGTTTGCGTGATATAGGAGTAGTTAAAACGAATAAGGAAAGACCTCTTAACTCTGACGAGATTAAAAAAATATAAATGAGCTGAAGGCCAAACTCAAGAAAAATACAACAATGCTGATTAACCAGCATTTATACTTCGGTATAGATAATGTGAATATTTCTGAATTATCATAGATGGACCCTCTAGCCAGTCAAGTAATTTCTGACGAGTCGGAAATTGTAAAGAAGTTGCCAGGCCAATTTAAGCATAATTTTATAAAGCCAGTACGACAAATGGTACCTTTATCTCTTCCGTTTGCAGTGAAAAGAAAATGTAATGAATTCGTTGCTACTTTCATTGAGAATCGTGAAATTGATCTTCTAAGAAAACTTATACATGATGGGACATGAAAAGAAACAGAAAACAAGCTTGCAATAATCGCGGAGAGAATTTTGGATACATTGTAAGTATTTTTTAATAATATTTTGTGATTTTCTACTCTCTGCTCACTGCTTATGTCTTGCCATTGATACTAGAAGCGATTCTTGAAATAATCCTGCATTTGGAGTGAATTTTGTGGAATCCCTGAATGAAGGTACTTACATGACCAATATGATAGTACCAGCGATTCAGGCAACATTGAAGAATCTTCCTCTAGGAAAATCCACATTCATTAGTAACTCTGAATGTCAAAGTAGTGCCAGTGCAGATAGGAAAGGCGATGGGCGATCTGGGAGACGGCCAGATGTTATGATCGTAATGAAACACAATGAGAAAAATTATGAACTTTTATTTACCGAATGCTCACGCTTATCATGTACAGCGCAAAAGGAGAGAGATGATCAAGTGAAGCTGTGGCGCGAGGTCAATGATAGAATATACTGGACTTGTAAAAGTTGTAAACCTGATAAGGACGAATTTAGGATTATTGGGGTATAGATAGCTGGAAAGAAATTATATTTAAGTGTCTTTATAAGGGATATGAGTGAGGTCCATCGATATTATTGTCTCCATGAATCAGAAATCCTGGTTCAACTTTCAGATCCGTCAATTGTAGAAAAATTCGTAGAATCATTACTGATATTGCAAAATATTCTAATCGTTAATATGAATATACTATACAATGCACCTTTAAAAAGATCAAATCGGAATGTAGAAAAAAGCTCTACAGTTTCTTTACCTAAGCGAGATGACTAGAATTTTTTATCTTGTATTTTTATTTTTTCTGTATCAATAAAGGGACCCTGGTGGTCGATTTTGCAAATATATATTCATGTTTTTATTTGTGTGAGAATAATAATTTCTTAGCAAAAGTGATTGACATGACGATTCATTACGCGCACGTGATTTTTTTTGGATTTTGAATGCTTACTTATTTTTATCAGATATTATAGATTATGTCATCAGAGCTTGAATTATTAAGACAACGCATTAGCGAGCTTGAGATTAAAAATGCTAAGCTTGAGACAGAGAATGCTGAACTTCTAAAGCAGGCTATAGAAATAGATGATTCCAGATTGGCTGATTTATAAAAGGTAGTCCTGTCTCTTGGTTCTTTTGCATATCGAATTGAGTATTATATATTTTGAAAGATTTTTTTCGTAGGCAGAATATTGGTTACTTTTTTTCTACGAATTCTACCATTTCCTAACCATGAACCATATGATCACAATCAGTAGTAAAACAAGTATGGAATATGTTACAATCAGCGACATTAGAGAACGAGTAATGACGGCTGGTACTAGAGGCATTACTTGGGCTAATGGTACTACTTCTGCGCCACCTGATTGCTCTGCAATCTCTTCCCTCAAAATATACTTTTCAGAATGTGTTAGTCAACTATGAACGGATTGATTAGGTAGGATATCTGCCTGGCTGATGGGGTCCTTCTGGGACCACCTGCTTCTCAAAACTATATTATCCTGGGGTAATAGCTCTTGCAAAGTCTCTAATATATGTTCTCTGGCAAAACTTTTATCAAATTCCATAACTTTATCTTTGAGATCAAGCTCATAGATGAGGGGTCTTAAATCGTTACTAAGCCAGCCTGGTAGCTTTTGCGATGAATTGTTCATAGACGGAGGTGGAGGATTAGAAAGATCTGCTATTGCATTATCTTTTTTTGAGATTATCCTTTTCAATAAAAGATTTTCCTCCATTGAATTTAATCGCGCCTTTCTCGAAGCATCTATTTCTCGACTGGTTATCTCATGTGTCCTTCTATCCCTTTTTTCATATAATCTATTTCATGTTTTTTTGAATTAAGATCCTCATTCGCTCATTCTAATTCAAGCTTGAGAGAATTATGTAATGCTTGCTCTAGTTTCAAGTTATCCAACTCACCTTCTAATTTACGTATTTTAGTTTCAAGAGAAAGAATCTGGACCTTGTCAGTGGACGAAGCTTTCTGAGCCAAAGTTACCTCTCTCTTTAGCGTTTTAATATTTGATTTTAGCGATTTGACTTCGGCTTCGAGTTCAATACGGGACCTCCATTCAGAAATAAATTTGGATCTAAGTTCAGTACTGAACGCATTTAACTGACTAGCTTTATTTTCCATATCAGCATAAATTCGCTAGAACTCCTCCTCTCATTCTGAATACTCTGAATTTTTAGCCAACAACTTTTCACAAAGATCATTAATTTCAGCTTTAGAACTAAGAGTGGTATACAATTTTTTTTTGAGCTCTTGCTCATATGCACTACCAAGCCGATGCCCTTTATTATTAATATCTTTCAAGGTATACACATTGGTCATAGCTTTTTTTTTCGGCTTAGTTGCTAGTATGTTAAAAAACATGTGATTGAAAATTTTTTACTTGGCAAATTTTTTAGACTGAATAAACTGAATCTACCGAAAATATATTGATAATACCGAACAGATATCGATAATACCGAACAGAAATCGAACAAATATCGAAAATATATCGAAAATATACCAGTATTTTTTTGAAAGATTTTTTTGTCTATTTGTAAAAAATGCTTTAGTATTTGCGTTCAGATGTGACTCCCCTATCTGCTGAAGATATCCAGGATATTAATAAAGCTATAAATTTAATAAAGCGGGCATCAGAAGTTATGGCTAACAAATACAAAATATCAACACGGCGGGTGTATCAAATTTGGAGAGAAGCTCACCCACCAATAGACCCTAAAGATATAAAACCATTGTCAGAAGAACCTGGTTCATATCAGCAAGTGAATCCTGTGGAATGCTATGTTATTTCTAGGAGTAAGGTAAAAAAAGCCAGAGGAAAGAAACCCAAGTCCAAATCCGTTAGAATCTCTGAACCATCTATTACCCAGAATCAGCCAATGTCTAT